TGTAGGAAAGGAAGCAGCTTTTAATGTCAGGAGTGATAAGACGTTCTGTTAGGTGCGGAAACCACTGAAGAGTCCCAAAATTTGTTGGTAACAGAAGTCTGTGGAGAGATGTGCTTTCCTGGACATGAGGTCACTTATTTCCTAACTGCTCTTTCCTTGTATTCCTTTTGCTTGCTTAAGGTGAAAGGAGTGGTTTAGGTAAATGGAAAGATGGCTTATTATATGTTTGCAAGAAGAAAATTAAATAGAACCTGGCCTCTTGATTTCTCAGTCTTCTGACAAAGTGGAGTTAATCGGTGATGGCAAAGATGGACATTAACATGGATATGCTCTAATTTCTATGTGAATAGTCCTAGCATTTTGTGCTAAACAGGAAGCAGGTGGTGTGACTCCAGAGATGCTGTGATATTATTGCTGACGAAAAGGGTTGGTCAGTCTCTATCTCCCCTGCTTAACCTTGTACAGACACCTGTGTTGGATTCCCTGCACTTCCCCCCCTTCCCCCAACCCCCAAATTATTTGTCAGCTGGGGCGAGTTTCATCTTTCCCCGGGGGCAGAGGGAGGAGAAAAGAGGTAACTCAATCTGATAAGTGCTAGAGCCCCTGCAGGAAAGGAACTGAGACGATCCTCCCAGGGCAGCAGTAACAGCCTGTTGGATCACTTGCTAGCGGGACTGAAAGAGGTGTGTTTTCTTGAGCAGTATGACTCAAAGACATGTCCCAAAATACATACGGCCTTGTTTTGGTTTTGCTGGGTCAGCTTTCAACAAAGATGAGCAAGCAGATCTGGCAGACCGCTGTAGGCAGCTGCACTAGCTTGTGGGGAACAGGGGAACAGATCTAGCTTGTAGGAGAGGAATGGTCTCAAAAGAGTATTTTAGTTGCCTCCAGTTACTCATGAAACTACAGCCATTATAACAGCAGTTAGATATCTAACAAAACATTAATCAGCTTTCAGGCTTAAGAAGGGATTTATTTGAAAATTGACTTCTGGGATCCTGCTGTTCCGTTTGAGAAATGTTTGTTTGCTGGGAGGAGGTTGGTTTAATTTTCTTATACAAGTCTCTGTCTGTGATTCTTTTCTTAGTGTTTAAGTGTTTCAGAATGAGAAAAATGCATGTTCTTTCCTCTTGGATAATTGTTTCTTATCTATAGTAACTTAGCTTTACTGTAGTACAGTTTATTCAATATTTCTTTATGTAAGAACAGTAATGAGGTAGAGCAAATACTATATCTTATGGTTTGAAACCTTTTCTTATAGCTACATGAAGAGTTGATAGCTTTGAAAATGGCTTCTGTATTAAAAATTAACTAAGCCCTTTTATCAAACCCTGCTTAGTGAACTGGATTGTGTTGTCATGGTTGTACTTTCTGCGTGTAGACCAAACTTTGGGTCAGTAGATACAAACTGTGGATGTTATTTAAAGTAAATGACAATACAAATAAAGAGATGCTGTTGCCTAAAAAAGTTTCCCATTCAGTTTTTTTTGTCAGCATCCTGATCAGTTCTTCAGAGAAGACTGGAGATGTTTCTTGCATGTCACGTTCTATGAACACAATCACTTACCTGTATGTCTGTGTATATGTGAAATTACAAAAACTCGTGTGATAGGAAATAAGTTTGGGGGATGGAAGAGGTGAGGTTGTAGTAGCTATAAAATTTGAGGCATGTTTGTAGAATTACTGTATCAGTACTATGGGTAACAAATATTAGCAGCTGTTTACCCAATAAACCTTTTCAATACTGTGAACGTAGTGGTTATAAAACTGCAAGCTCTTTGGACATCTGTGTGGCTCTTGGCAATGTTGGGTTTGGTCTGTTGTTGCAAAATGTGTAGTGCAGGCAACTTCTTGTGTGTGAATGAAAGATCTTGAGAAACCTGTGAAATGCCTTAATGCTTGCTGTGACTATAGCTGAGAGGAGCTATGGACTTGCCTGCAGGACTACAACATTTTGCAGGTTTCTGGAAGATGTTGAGATGAGCATACCTCACTGGTTGGTGTGCTGTAATTTGACTAATTGGCCTATCAACTAGTAGTAAATTAGGAGTAAATCAATTTCTTCCTGTAAATAAAGGAGGTGAATCCATCCTGAGACCTCTGAGGGAGTGATACATACATATGGGTGTGAGCGGTTTTTCACTTGCACGCTTCCTTTGAAACACCTTTGATATTTTGGCAAGATCATGATACTGAGATCTTTATTACAGAAAGTCTTAATCTGTACTTGCCTTTTTTCTAAATTGCTGTTCCATGGGATATGAAAAACCTCCATTTTAAAAATTTTCCAAGTCTGTACTATCTTGCCTGAAACTAGGGTGGGTAACACATGAATAATGATTCATCTTAAAGTGTTAAAAAGTGCTAGTAACAAGAAAACCTTGGGAGTACTTGATTTGTACTAGGTGAAAAAGTAGCATTCTTCAGCAGTTACTGTGTTGTGAATAAATATCCATCGTTTCCATCCTGTGTAACAAAGCAACATCCTGCTTAGGTTGTGCCTGGTTGTAATGGTGTGTGTTCTGCATTTATCAGTTGGTATCAATATTTAACTGTTCATGGCTTGTTACATGTGCAATCCTACAGTGGCTGTTGTAATGCTAAAATAGTTGTCCTGTTGATCAAAATGGTGAATTAAATATTGTGTGTTTTAGGTATTGAGGGCGATTTATCTCTTGCATCATGCGTGAATACAAGCTAGTGGTTCTTGGTTCTGGAGGTGTTGGAAAGTCTGCTCTGGTAAGTACTGTGAGACAGATCAAGTATACTTTTGTAGGCTTCTCTTGTCTTTTTTTCACTAATACACTCCCTACTAACCCATATTTCCTTTATGTAAGCGTGCACAAATAGAATTTTTTGTGCACATACATAATTATGTAATGTGCACAAACATAATTTAAAAAATTAAAAATTATTTGCTCAGAGTTCCTGGCTAGGATAGGTACATCCATTACTGGATGTTTCCACATCCATTGGTGTGTTCTCACATGCTGCTGTTATTGTATGGGCTTGGTGGATGGTGCTTGCTCAGGTCTTTGCCTGTGTACAAAGTGAAGTACATCCCCGACAGCATTATGAAGTTCTCTGGCTTTGCTGAGTAACCCAGCCATGGGTTCAAGGGAAATCATGCTACATCATGAAACTCATACAATGAACTGGTTTGCTTGTGTCTGGCCTTGGTAATTCCTGTCTGTACAAAAGTCTTCAGGGTGCTGTTTGCCGAATGTTTGATAGTAGTCTCTAAGTACTTTTTATACAAGCACAAATAAATATTTGTATATTTACAGGAAGTTTAATATCTTTCTTTGCAAGTAGGTGTATAGCTGTGGCAAGTAGATGATTATAAGCCAAAGAGCTCATGTGTTTTTAGTTAAATGATTGCAGAAAAGTTTAGTCTGGCCTAGACTAGCACTGAAAAAGTTCATAGAATATGGTGGTCTCAGCCCACTTCAGAACTTTACATCTTTCAGTTTAACTGTGCACCTTATCATAAAGTAAGGTCCAGAGGTCCGCTCTATCAGGTAAGAACTGTTCTCTTACAAAGGGGTTCCTAAAGGAGAACTTAAATGAAAAATCATGTTAGATTGTGAAAGAACTTTACCCATCATCTCTAAATTCCTTATCTTACTGCAGCATTTCTGGATTTGAACCTGTCTTCTCTGACCTGGCCACTGAGTTCTAAAGTTCCATTTGACTTGTGCTAAAAAAAATTCCTATGTGCTAGGTACACAGGTTTATCCTACTGAGTCTAGTAAACGCTGGCAGTAGTTTCTCACTAATTCATGTACTGGATGATAAGTAGCAGAAGATGCAGTAGATATAAATGCAAATATAAAAGCCATGCAACTGTGTAGTATCGTATTCAACTGAAAACTAATAACCATTCCAAGAGTTAGACAAACCTTAAATCAATGGATGCTTTAATGCTTTTGCTCTAAGTGAGAATAGATAAAGGAAGGTGTAGCATTGCTTCATCTAACAGTACTCGATTAAATAGGCATATACATCTAACTTTCCTTTGACATCTTTGTGATGTCAATCACTTAATTTGCCTTGAAAAAATTAACAGATAACCGAGTATACACCTAGAACAGTAATTCATGTACAATGTTTACAAAGTGTCGCTATGTCAGAGGAATCTTACAAGAACTTTTGTTGCAGACTGTACAGTTTGTTCAAGGAATATTTGTTGAAAAATACGATCCTACGATAGAAGACTCCTACAGAAAGGTACGCAGAAGACCTCTCTAGTGTTACAGAAACTTTAAACTGCAGTACTTGTTGTCAAATATTTGAGACATTGCTTGAAAAAGGGTATGCTTAGTAATGCCGCATAATACCAGGTAACTTTACAAGTTTGAAATGTAAAGGTACTCTTAAAGTCTGTCTAAAAGGAGTAATTCAAGACTAGCTTTTTTTTTTTATGTTAAGCATAATCCCTTACTAGCTAGTCTGTAAGGGG